TGGGCAATGCAGCTGGAAACTTGGCTCCCCTAATGATCATGTATAGTTACGAAATATTACCGAAACATATTTTGCAACCAGTTCCGAGTGGCTCGGTTATTGGTAAATCTTAAAGCGGGTGGATGATATCTGAATGTTTTTATCAATATATTGCGATTTCGTAATGAATCCTTGGTTCCTTGGAATACCTTGGTTCGTACAACTAAAAACTGAGTTTCGTATTTCACGGTATGTTGATGATCACAAATCGCACATAACTGCATCGCTAAGTAATTTTTGCCGTGAAAAAGGATTTTTTTATGTCTTCTAGCAAACTCTACCTACATTTTGCAACCACTAGACGTTGGATTATTTAAATCTCTCAAATCTTCCTCGAAAAACAATGTGAAAAAATGAAAAATTGAATCGGGTAAACCATCTCCGAAGAGGGAAAGTTTAGCGCCGATTCTAAAACTTGCACTTGAAGGAATTATGGATATCAATAGGATTTTTAAAAATACTTTCCGAACTTGTAGACTATTTTCATTGGATCCAAATAATGTTGATTCTTGGATGAATGGAAAAGAAATGATCATGAGCACAATTTATATAAAGTCTGGTATAATGTATTTCTTCAGTAGGCTTGCCCTTTTCGGAGACTGAAACAGAAAACAACATTATTATTGATACTGACGACGGGCTGCAACTTGAGGATGGGTAGGAGAAATTGATAGTGGGTTTTGATGATAATACACTTGCCGCTATCAACCGAGAGATCCAAATATATGAGGATAAAAACTATGCAAGGTAGATATGATGTGCCCAAAGAAAATCAAATAGGTAGTATCAAAAAAGAAAAAGAAAACACGATGAACCAAGACACAGAAAAACAAGTAATCCCAGAGCAAGACGAGAAAGAAAATATTCAACTAATAATATTGGACTTTTGACATTGGAAACAATAATAGAAAAGAAGAACTTGGTGATAAAATTAAAGAAACAAACATTATAGATGCAAATAAATGTAAAACATCACCATCTAAAATGATATAAGTATGAAGGAAGTTGAAAGAACACCATTAAAAGAAAATATCCATAATAAATTAATTTTATCACCTTTTAAAGCAGCTTTGTTTTGGCCGAACCAAGATGAATAGAAACCTCAAACAAAGAAGAAAGAAAAAATTCCTTCAGTCACAATATCCGATTTATGGAAAAAATATTACTTGAGAAAAGAAAAAGAAAATGAGAAAATTGAAGTAGAAAAAGTAAAGAAAATGAAAAGAAAAGAAATTAGGATACCAGAAAGAAATAGCAAAAAATCTAAAAGTAAAGTGAAAATAGATAAGAAAAATGTGGAAGAATCTGATCATAAACTGGATTTTCCGGGGATAATTAAAAAACAGGAAACCAGTAGGGTGTTTGTTAATGACATCTAAAATATTATATTATATTATATTTTTTATAGAGGAGTGCACTGCATCACTGGGAATAGCCACAAGAACCTGATCAAATTTGGTATGATTATGATGAAATAAAGGCGAAAATTCAAGCCCTACAAGAGATTAATAAACTTGGTTGTTTCATTGTTAAAGAAATGAATAAATACTAACCTCGTTATAGATGTTCTGAAATGAAATTAATATGTTGCTGTTAATTTCATTTTTTAAAGACCAAAAACTCTGTCTGAACTGAGTGCATGAAGGTTGAAATAACATCCTCATAAAAAAATACCTCCCCGAATTATGTAACCTAACAACGTTTAAGAAATTTTGTATAAAATCACTATATTATATATATGTATATATATATATATATATATATATATATATATATATATATATATATATATATATATATATATATATATGAGGGGTCTAACTGCAAAACTCTCATTCTCCGTTTTTGTGAATTTTGGGCAAATTGCAAAAAACTGTAAAAACTATGTTCCAAGCCTATGTTCTTGATTATTTTCGCAAATCATTTGCTTTTGGTCTCTTGAATACCCCGCTCAAGTGAAAAACAAATCAAATGACTATAAATATATATTTTTTAATGTATTAAGTTTGGATAATGTGAGTTTTGAGTTCAAAAATGAAAAATGTGAGTTTTGCATCCAAGCGATATGGAGAATGTACGTTTTGCTTCATTCCCGAATGAGTGAGTTTGAGCTACACCATCAGTTTCTAGGTTTCTACCTTAGATTTATGGATTGAAATATTATTGCAAATTATATATATATATATATATATATATATATATATATATATTATATAAATATAAAAGGAAAATGTAAAAGATGCCAATAACCAAAATTCATAAAATTTATATTATTATTTTATTATGTCCATTCAACATCAAATTAGTAATGATAAAATGAAAAAAAATTAAATGTTAAAACCAGAAATTTCCTTCTGCGGTTGACATAAAAGCTCATATTCTTCTGTTTCGTCATGTTGTTGTTCGACTGCAGATTCATTATCAATGGCATGCTTAAAAAACTGTAGTGTATCTAGAGATCTCCAGTCCTGGCCATAATGCTTACCTAATAATGTTTGAACGTTATCTTTCTTTTCTTGTTTTAGGCTATTCCCCTTAACAATTTCTTGGGGTTTAAAGTTCGATCAGTCGTTTTCCTCGCTTTGCAATAGACTTTGCAGTCATCAACTTATTTCTGTAATTACATTCTCCCTGAATAAGGATTGTGTGCCCTGATTTTGTTAAATAAACACGTTTGCATGATTTTATGCCAAAGTGCCAGCCACTTGAAGGTTTAATGACATCAATAATAGCATTTTTCCAATCCATGTTAATTAAATCAGTTCCGAGTATCTTTACCGTTGAATATATTTTTATTATATCAATGTATTCGTTTGGAGAAACAATATTTTCTTGCTTTTTTATCTCTTTTTCGATGTTACCAAATACACGATGCGGAGGAATAAAGCTGTGTCCTGTGACAGGGAAAACCCATTGCACCTCTTTAATATTACCTGGTGCTTTTGAAAGCCAGTATGCCACCATGCTCATTAAAATAGTATTTTTGTTCTGTCTACCACAACCATCACAAATAAGTCTAATGGTTTTGTAAGGTGACAAATCAACAATTGAGTTTAAATAATAAAACTAAGCAAGATGATATTTCATTTGCTCCTTTGTGGTACTCATTTTCAGTCCAAATAAAGGATGTCACGTTTTGGGTACCCATTTTTGATTTAGAATGACCAGCAACTACACAGAAATTGTTCAAATAAATCTGTCTGCTGTAGTAAGTAGCTTGATCAGGAATTTTTGGGAGTGGTTGATTCTTCTGACAATCAAAAGAGAGAATCAGTAAATCATTTACGTTTTCCTTGAGCAATTCATAGAATGATTTTGACCTTAATTTGTGCACTCTTTTTTCAACCATTAAATTATTTTTCTGCACGGTCTCTTTACAAACTTCTTTAACTTCCATGTCTTTAAATTTCTCATCTGCACAAAATATTCTCCATAACTTTTTGATGTTCAACTCAGAAGGGAGATATTTACGGCCCCCTTTGTTTGAGCAATAATGTGTTTCACTGCATTTAAATCTATTTATAAATTTCATTATTGCTTCTTTTTTAGGACCAAAGCGATCACCCGTATGGTCTCCACCTCGTCTTTCTTTTGGCATTATTCCATCACGAAAATATTTTGATAAACGATTTACTCTAAAACGTGATATTTCCAAGCACTTTAAAAATGTCTGCATGCAAACAGGCACTTTACATTTTTCTCTGTCTGGAATAAAGTATTTGGCTCTTGTTTCTTGCGCCTTTTTTGCTTCTTATTGGTTATAGCGGGATTTTTTGGGAGTCTCCTCCTTTGAATAGGTTCCAATGATATGTGCAAAAGTATAAAATTATCCTGACTTACTTTGTCCTCGTTTTCGTAGAATTTCTGGTGAAACCTACGAATGTCTTGTATAGTTAAAGTCTTGCAATGAAATGCCCCTTGTGAATGACTGCATGTAGGAAAGTCGGGGAATCCCGTGGCACAATATCTAAAAAAAAAAAGAAACGTGATTATTACACATTTCATTACATATTTTAAAATAACAGAGAAATGTAATCTATAATTTAAGTAATGATTACGCTGTAAAAACACGTTTATCTAACCTACCTTTGTTTTTTACTATTGCCCTTTCCCACTTCTCGGGGTTTGGAACAGCTTTTCGTGCCCGTTCTCCACCACTTGCTGGAGATACTAGTACATACATTACGAGGAGATACTAGTTAAACTTCGTTACAAAAACAAACGAACTGGCATTTGAGATTTGAGGTCGCGCGCAGCCAGGCAGCGGCCTCCTATTGGTTGAATGGAAAATGTGAGTTTTGATGTAAATTGAAGTGTGGATAATGTAAGTTTTGCAGTTAACTCGACTTTTTGACATTCATTTTCTACTGGATAACAAGTGTTTTGTGGCATTTTTAGAGTTTAATTTAATATAATCCAATATGGAGAATAAGAAAATGAGTCTATCTCAATTTCGCCAAAATGTGATAATGTGAGTTTTTGCAGTTAGACCCCTCATATATATATATTATATATATATATATATATATATATATATACTTATATTTATTTAATTTATATATATATATATATATATATATATATATATATATTTATATATGTATATATATATATATATATATATATATATATATATATATATATATATATATATTTGAATTAAATATTGTTTATTGTGGATATATATATATATATATATATATATATATATTTTATGAATACATCTTATGAAATAAACGAAGTACTTTTCCCGGTGTAGGTACACTTCTGTGGGCAGTAAGCTTGCTATCTAAAGTTATCGCTATGGACGTATAAAAGATTCTGAGGTCAATGGTGCTCGTTATACAGAATAACAAGTCAATTAACCAACCGCTTTATGTTTATTAAACGAAGAAATCAATCTGTGTTAATAATAACGATACGCTTAAAACTAGTGCAAGTAATACGTTCAAATAGGTAAAATGTTAAGACTACATAAATTTCGCAGTATTGTCTCCAATCAAACGAAAACGGGAATAATTTCATGCGCCAATAAAAAGTATTTTAGTACTGAAGGGGATTTGCCTAAACAGGCGGATGTTGTTGTTGTGGGTAAGTAATTAAATAATATCTTTTTATTTACGATTGAAACTAAACATTTCTGTTAAAGTACTTTGGTGTTTTATTTAGCCGAAATACTAGCAGTACCATGTAGAAAATAATATGAGGTTAACATATCTTTTTTTGTTTTCTTGCAAACAAGTTTTTTCATAGTATTAATATTTCTCTTTGTGTTTTTGTAACAGAATTGTTCTTTTCGTTACATTTAAAAAAATAATTTAGATCATAACATTTTTCTTACTGTGCGAAATTATATTATGTACTAGCGTTAAGTTGATTATCAGCCAACCTGTTAAGTATACTGTTGAACACAGGCCTCCCTTAAAAGTAGCCATTATCTCCTGTTTGGACCTGCTGGGATATAGTTTATTCTCAATCTTTTTAGATTATCTCTCCAGGGTATCAGTGATCTTTTGTCACCTCTCGGTTGTTACTCAATATCTCCCTTTTCTACCTGCCATTATTCATTCTTGTTATTTAGCTAAACTCGACTTCCGTTTGGTAACTCGTTCGAAAATGTAGCATATTTGGATTTTTAGATTTATATTACTCATTTTTAATTAATCCTTGATAGTATTGAGCATTCATCTTTCTATTTTTCCAGGATAGCTCTCAATTTATTTTGATCTTTTAAGTTTTTTGGTTCTGTGCCTCATCACAGGCAATACATATCTACCAATAAAAACAGGAACGTTCTTCATTGTAATTTGAAAACTTGATGGTCAGTTTAAATTTACCTCATCTCCTACAACATACCACAATATGTGTATAAGATGGAAGGTAACCGTATATACGTATATCTGACTATTGGTCGTCTTCAGTACGGTGTAGCCAAGTTAGAAAAGGAACATGTTAACTTGGGCCTATAGGTTAACTAGGTTAACTCAGAGATACATATATACGGTTGACTTCCATCGATATACCTTTTATGGTTTTCTGTTTTCCGAGACATGCCATTACATTATATATATATATATATATATATATATAATATATATATATATAATATATATATATAAAAGAAATTTAATCTTTGCAGATAAGTTAAATAGTAAACTCTTAAATATTGGGAAATCTTCAAATAAAACTCTAATGTGTATCAATTGTTTCGCCGAACGTTTTCGCCAAAGAGAATTAATTTGGCCTCTTTAGGGCTGAAAGAGAATAAATAATAAATATCTTACCGTAACTTTTAGAAATGTCGAGTTAGGATGTAAAAAACGTGTTTTTTTATACTATGTGCAAAAAAGTTTTTTTTAACGTTGGAAATGTATGGTAGCTTTGAAATAGGAAATTTATTAAATATATTTGATCCAGAATATAGACCAACTGCAATAAAAAAAGAAAAATGGTCTTCTAAAGAATGCATATCCCGAACATCTAATCGAAAATATTTTCAAATCAAGACTCAATAAATTCTATAACAATACAACTAACAACAAACCGAACAGTATCGAAACCACTTATACAACTCTTCCATATATAAAAGGTTTATCCGAACAACTAACAAATCTTTTAGCAAAACATAATATAACAGTGGCCCACAAAGGCAACAACCTCGTAAATAAATATTTTACAAAACTAAAAACACACACTCCAAAACTTAAAAAATCACATGTTGTTTACTAGATACTATGTACTAACTGTGAAGGTGTCTATATCGGTCAAACCAGTCAACTGCTTCAATCCAGAATTCGTTCTCACAAATACGACAAGAACAACGTCACTGTGCTCACAAAACATGAAAGCGGGAAGAAGCATAAATTTGATTTTGAAAACATCAAAATTTTAAAAACAGAAAAAAACAAAAATAAGAGGGAGATATACGAATCAATAGAAATAAAAAGAAACACCAACGCAATAAATGACAAAAAAGATACACAAAATCTAAATAAAATATATTTCAATCTGATTTAAACAATAATAATATAACATCATAAAAAGATCTTAAAGTCATAACATATCCGATACGCCATATAAAAATAATTATATACTAATGACAGTAAACAATGAGATATCAGATATCAACTTTTATGTCAGTTCGTTAATGTCTGTGTCACGTTTTACGTTTTTGGTAAGTCATATATATATATATATATATATATATATATATATATATATATATATATATATATATATATATATATATTTTACACTATCTGTTTGTCCTTATATATATATATATATATATATATATATATATATATATATATATATATATATATATACACATTTTAGAATCTTGACAAAGGCAAGGGTTTCCTGCCGAAACGTTGATTGATTGCAATGGAAAATAAAATCTAGTTCCACATGTAACATATCTTTATTGAACCTAAACCCAAGAAACAATAATTTTAAATATAATATATATATATATATATTATATATATATATATATATATATATATATATATATATATATAATAATATAATACGGTTCAAGAAACTCAAAACAACTATATATATATATATATATATAATATATATATATATATATATATATATTATATATATTATATATATATATATATATATATATATATATATTTATACATATATACCTAACTAACTGTAACTGGAGAAACCTTAGCACAAAAGACATAGATTTAACCTAAAACACTTAAATATAATATTACCCCTTATCGAGATAAAGAGTGTTATCGGTGTTTTATTATAAATATTCTAAAATAATGTTAGCCTATTGTTTTAACACCTTCCAATATTTTTTGTTCAAACTTGACATACGGTTTACACATGTTAGGTTACATTAACAAGTGTTAAGGGATAACTTTCCGCAGTTACCAGAGACGTGCCCCCTTTTAATCTACGCCTTTGTCTTAATAATCATTTAGCATGTTTTTTTGATTCTTCGTTACTTTTTACGTAAATATCATCCGTTTGTCTTAATGCGTTGGTGTAATGCAGGTCATTCACGTTCCGACTTGTGGTACGACTAGTGGTTCAACTTCTGCAGTTGGATCTGAAATCGGACCGTGAGTGGGCTAGTTGGATTAGTTGGACAACTAGTGGTACGACTAGTGGAGTGGTACGAAGTCGGAGCGTGAATGGTGAAGTTGGAAGTCGGATCACAGGTTGGATCGAAAATTTCCTCAGTCAGTTGACTTTCGGCACCTGTTACGTATGAGATTTCTATGAAATACTTTACGCAAAGATCTCTAGTTCGCGAATATTTAATAGAAAATAAACTTTCAATTGCACGAAAATTACCTTTGTGTTAGGGCAAATCATTTTCCTTTCTGTAGATCTATTTCGGACATTCCTATACAGGTAAATTTCCGATACTCCGGATTGGCTAGGGAAGAATTATCAACAAACAATGAAAATTAAATCATAGTTGTAGCAAAAGATCCCTAGTTCGCAAAAAAATAATAGAAAATAACTTTCAATTGCACGAACAATTATTCCTATTAAAAATATACGACACACACACACAACAAAATAAATCCCAGCTTCAGTTTAAAACAAATAAAATATAAATTTTATACCTATACAAATCTTTAAAAACTATAATTTTTTTCCTACATCTTAAAAAGTCATAAAAATCAAGAGTTAAAAAATTAGTTAGTTCAGCCCTAGACAAATAACTAGAGAAACGAAACCTAATTTTTAAACATACATATCATATTATTATATTTTGCGTAGTGTTTATTCGATACATTTTTTGGTTAAGCGATGTACACAATGGTGAAAGAAAACAACCTAGAACTGAAGTTGGACCGCTAGTTGGATAGAAAGTCGGAGCTTGAGTGGAGACGAACATCCAACTAGTAGTCCTACTAAGTGGGACCACAAGTCGGAACGTGAATGGCCTGTCTAAGTAGTTTTTCAGGATATTTGCGGTAAAAGGTAATGTTTAAAATAAATAATCATATTTTTTTTGCTTATGCCACACTAGTGTCTTTAATAATTTAACCAAGTTGCTGATACATTTTGTTAATTCTAATTGTAAATTTTTATGAATCTTTAATAGTTATTATATTTTCTCGACTGTTGGAATTATGAAATCACTCTTTTAGAAATTATCAACCTCATAAGTTGTAGTGCTTGCTTATTTAAAATTAAGTAGGCCGATGCCATTCATTTGTATTACAATTGTCAGACCGATAATTGTAATTAAAAAGCGTAATATTTACTTACTGTTATAGTAGATTTTTTTTGTGAAAATGCCACGTCATAATAATTTTTTAAATGTGGAAATGCGGGATATGGTTTGTGTTTATACACAATCAAATTATACAGAGCGTGCTGCTGCTCAAAAATATCTACAGTTATATCCTAACAGACGACAACCCCATTACAGGACTTTTAAAAATATTTACGATCGGTTAGCGGAAACTGGTCAATTCCATCCAAAGCGGATCTAGGATGTCCAAAAATACTTACAGTGAATCAGGAGGATGATGTGTTGGTAAGAATTGCTAATGAAACTCCGTTAAGTACCAGCCGTTTATCAGCAATAACTGGAATAAGCTTCAGATTTCAGAATATTAAAAAAGAAAACTTAAGACCCTACCATTTTACTGCAGTGTAGAACTTGCTACCCACAGATCTTCATCAACGAATGGAATTTGCACAATTTGTTATGGATAGGCCAAATGCAAATAATATTTTTGTTAGTAATATTCTTTTTACTGATGAAGCCACTTTCACACGTAGAGGTATTTGTCACATATGGGATAACTAAAATCCACATGACGTTAGAGAAGCACACTATCAACATGAACTGAGAATAAATATCTGGTGTGGAATTTTTAGAGATCATTAATAGGTCCCTTTGAATTTCCTGTAAATTTCAACGGCAATTCGTATTTGGAATGTCTTCAAAATACCCTTTTTATGAACTGGAAGAGTTACCATTAAACCGAAGAAGAATATGTGGTTTATGCAAGCTGGAACCCCACTACATTTTTTGTTGATGGAGCAAAATTATTTGAACAATTAGTTTCCTCATAGGTGGATAGGGCGAGTGA